GGATGTAGCTAGGAGTAAATTAACAGCCTTGATAAATAAAGGTGATGGGTGCCAAATTCTTTTCATTGTTCATGCTAATTCGATCAATGATAGTTGAAGAAAGTGGAGGAAAGGCTCAAACCAGTGCCCCTACCTCCCCCATTCCGTGATCCAAAATCCTTGTGCCTTGCATCAGGAAGTCTGTGCCAGGCAAACTGCGATGAAGCACAGGAGAGCTACTGACTCCCTGGCCTCCCACAGACTTCTCAGCACCTTTGCCTTAAGAGCGATGGCCACGCTGTCAAGGACCTTTGCCTAAACCCCTCTTTCCCAGTCATTAATCCTCCAGTTCAAGTTAATGCCCCCAAAGGAGATTCCCAAGTTTTCCCTGAGTCCTCCCCTGCCCCTCAGAATGACTCTCAAGAGACACAAGATGGTGGAAGCCCCATGGTTCAGCCCCCACCTTGTGCTTCTTCTTCCCACAATCCCTTTCACCCTGTTCCTTCCAACTCCTTGACCCCACCCCTACTCATACCCCTCCTTCTCCTCCCCTCTCCCCAAACTCCACACCTTCCCTGGGTATTCCCCCTTCCTTTCCACCAGCTCAGCCTCCCATTCCCATGACATCATCTGTTCCCATGATGTCACCTGTGGACCGCAACTCCCATTCAAATTGCTGTCCCACCCCTGCTCCCTTCTCCTTCTCTGGCAGCTCTCATTCTCTTCTAGCTTCAAGTTCCCACTCTGGCATGGGGACTGGAAGCCACGAGCCCAGAAAATAGAACTTGGAACAAAAGACCATCCCCTTTGCTGCACCTGTTACCTATACCCAAACACGAAGAACCCTTAAATGGCAGCCTTTTGATTATCAGCATAAAGGAGCTTTGCAAGGCTCAGAAGGAGTTTGGGAGAAAAAGTGAATATTTTAAAGGCCTTTTAAAGACCACCTTTTTGTCAAACACCCTAGCTTCTGATGATATCAGGGATTTGTTTGCATGTCTCCTAACCCAAAGAGAATATCTGTTATGGGAGAGGACATGGAAGAGATTATTATGAGAGCTCCTTTCTGAGAAGACTATGATACACTAAAATATCCCCTTTAATTCACGAAAAAGTATGGGGGGATGGAGTGTTCAAGTTGTAGACATAAGCAGAGGCATCCATAATGAAGCAAAGCAGATGTTGAAGTAGCTTTGATCTCATGAGAAGGCTGAACAAAGAGAAGAAAGGAATTGAAGTAGCTGTGATCCCATGAGAAGCTTGAACAGAGAGAGACGGATGAGAGTTATGACGACCCTTTGCCCCCAGGGAAAGAAGAAGAAGACCCCTGTTCCCAGAGATGAAGATGATCTCAGAGTTAGATGAAGACAACCTTTGCTTTTGAACAGCTCATCCTTAAAATAATACCCCATAAGTTGACATTGCCCATTAACTCAGCTATGGGAAGACTGAAAATGAAAATGGGAGAAACTTCACGATTGCAGATTTTTCCGGGCAGCTGCTATTTTTGGAAATTAAAGAACAACAAGAGAACTGTTTCTTGTGGAGAAGTCTCCATTGGCATGACAAGAGAAAACGCCTCTCCCTACAAGAACTGATGAATGACTATTGTAGAGGTGGTAACTGATTGAAAATTCCAGATTTTGTCTCTGCATTGTTAGTTGGGAAAGAAAAGTGTTCTGGAGGGGAGGAAAAGTGTTCTGAAAGTATTATTCTGATTCTTCTTATTCATTTAGTTCTGTTAATAAAGTTTTCTTAGTACCTCTTAAGTTTGAGCCTGCTTTGCCTTCCTCCTAATTCATATCTCAGAACAAGAAATGAGTAAATAATTCTAATAAGTGCACTGGTGATTTTAGCCAGCGCTGAACCCATTGTATTATTTGGTGCATTTGCTAGGAAACTAAAATTGCCAAACCTAAACCACTATACGAATGCACTGAAACTACTGGTGCAAATATGCTAAAATATTTCATAAAGTAAGAATTAGGTACAACAGTAACTTGGTTTAATGATATGATTGCATGAGAATACTCCAGCTTTTAGCTTTTGCTATAAGCTTTCTAAGATGTTTAAATACATTAAAATACCTATTTATTTTGACTATAATGATATTTTAACTCTAAGTCTAGAAGGCCCTTCCTAATTAAAATGATTATTCTATATAATTTTAAATTGATTACTAAAGATATGTTTACAGATACTTAATTCCTTTTCAGCTTGAAATGTCCAAGATCTTTTCCATTAAATTACTTGTTACAAATGAAGTATTTGAAATAAAAATGGTGTAAAATTCTAATTAGTTTATTTGTTGTTGCTCTTTGAGGAATGCTTAATAGGAAAATGAGTATAATCTTTAATCCTTATAAGTCTTAGAAGTCAGAACTTCTGTACTGAATCAATAGACCTTTGTAAAATTAAGATTTCATTGATTAATTAATCTGACTTTGAATAGTTCCCTCCTAGCAAAAGGGACATATTCTTCCAGAATATGTACCTGATCAGACTTCTTTCATAAGAAGAAGGAAGATTTTAATTCAGAACTTTTTTTTTTTTTTAAAAAAAGGGTCTGTTATACATCATATGGTTTTACTGGTATGCTTAATATTCTGCTATAAAAATTAATACTTTTTAATCAGGATGCAAAGCTATTTTTATCAGTGATATGTGACTTGTGAAGTAACATAAAATCACACAAAATGTAGGTAAGAAGTTGTCATCTACTTCTGACAAGCTCCTACTTATTATACTCTCGATAATACTAACTTTCAATACTTGCTCTCATTTCTAAAAACATCATTAAGTTCAGATTGAATTAGGACTATTTTTCTTGCATTCCAATAACCCTGCTGTGTGTTTCTGTTGCAAATAGATGGGATAATAAGACAGAATTGGTAAATTATGTTAAACCTAGCTAAATCTCCAAAACAGACTCCATCTCCTAACTTTAAATATTTTCATCAAGTTTTGGTTTTGGACAAATTCTGTATATGTATAATTATATACTTTTGGCAGGTTTCTTTGGAACAAAAATGTGGAAATTGCAACAACCATCTAGTACATTGTGTGTCCTGTTGCCACACAGTTCTTCAAATTCTGGGTTACTGCATGGTATTTTCAACATTGCCTATGTAGAAATTACTTCCAAAAGACTAATGTATTATTAAAAATTATTTCTTACAGTAGTTTATACTGGGCAAAAGGAAGATAAATGAATAAAAATGTAGTGATTACAATTCATTCTTACCTTGGTTCTGTAATATGGACATAGTTCTACTGAATCAACCATCACTAGTCTATAGAGGGACTAAAGGATAATGAGTTAGTCAAACCAAAGGGATGAATTTATTTCCTGAGAAACTAAGTGCAAATCCCTAATGAAATGATTCTTTTGACTTACCTGTTTCACCATCATCAGAGAAGGTGATGTTGATCTTTATGTGAAACCATTAAGATGTGGTTTCAACATTCAAACATTCACTTTGTGTTCACAAGTACAACACAGTTCTTTAGGTGCACCCCTGGTGAGCAATAGATGTGTCAAGTGTACTTCATGTCTTTGATTCTTGTATCTGCTATACAGTCCCTTTTTTTTTTTTTCAGAGCCAGTTGTCTTACTCTGTTATTCTATAGTGGTTAGTACAATAGGGTATTTGCTCTTTGGAGAGTTACAACATAAATTTTCAAATGAACCAAAAGAAGTAATTGACTGTGACACTATAGCAACACCCAGGTCTTTGCAAATCACATTTTTAAAGACAGAATCTGGATTGCTGGATTGTCTCATTTGAAGTAACATATTAGTTCCTTTCTATTGTATCAGAGAACTATGGCCATCCATGTCAAACAGCTAGGAAAAAATTATTGTTTCTGCATTAGTGTATACTGTTGCAAGGTAGACAGCAGTAGTGAAATGTGAAATTATGTCAGATCTCCTAATAATTTTGGAATCATAAAAATGAGATTTCAAATGAAATTTTCATTTCTTTGCATTTGCTTTAATAAAAAAGGGGTTTCTTCAAGAGAAACTCAAAGCTTCTAATTCTGGAATTAAAGCTTCCAGTGTTTCAGTGGGATGTGGAGTTAAATTTGAACCAAATGGAATTGCATTTTTTGCTCAAATGACAGCTTGTTCTTGTGCACAATGTACAAGAAAGCTATTGCTATTCAGTAATAAACATACATTCCTGAAATGTGATGGGTTCTGTTTCTATTTGTATATTTACAGTTCATTAACATAGGAATAGTTGTTTTTTGTATTCTTTTAATCTCTTTTTAGTGTTAAGTGTGTTATGTTCGGCACTTGCAGATCTGCCTATTGAATACTTATGGTTTTGACCAGTTTTAAAGGATATTTACACTGCAGAGAAATCTTTACCCTTGACTGTTCATGGGATAATATGAGTGCAGACTGGAAAAATAATAACTATTAAAAATTAATTTTGTCAAGGTTTGTTATTTTCCCTGAAAATGTGAAGAAATAAATTTAAAACTCCTACATGAAAAACCGTATTGATTTGGCAAAATGCTGTATAAGGTAACTTTCTATTGGTTTTGATTACTTGCCATTTTAAATTATGAAATTTAGCAAAAACACCCCTTGATTTTGATCATCAAGGTCAAGTGATGAGACCTGGCCCTACTACTCAGTTGTTACAATGATTTACAGAAAATAATACTGAGCTATGAAGTTGGCACCAAGCAAGGATTAGAGGGGTTTTTCTGCCCTTTTGCACCTCAGCATGTTAAATCTAAATTGCTTTCAGTTGCCAGTGTACTGGAAAGGTTTCTATGAGCAGTCCTGTTGCTGTTGAAGCAAATTTTAATGCAAATGCCTTTTAGAATTCTGTAACAGGATACTATGCCTTGATTAAGCTCTCTTGTCTTATTTATATCTTTGTTGATGACTTGAAGATGTTATCCATATATAAAACAAATTCTGTATGATCAAATATTTAAAGGGTCCCTTAATATTTTAGTAACACTTACTAATAAATTGTTTTGGGTTTTTTTGTCCCACTCAGAACAAAAGCCTCAAAAACAAGCTCTTGTCAGGAAACAAGCTTTGTGGTATTCACGCAGAAGAGGTAAGGAAGATTCCTCTCTATTATAAATCTAATGTACTCAAAAGAAGTTTGCATCAATGTCTTTTGTACTGGTTCTGGTTACACCAGAATACAGGATATATACTATGCTTATATGGTGAGTGTTTACGTAATGTGCTCTCATCCCAGCTCATTTCTGTAACTTCACAAGAAGCAGCTCAAATGTATTAAAAAGCCAGTTGCAAACTCAAGTTTTAGACAAATAAAATCATCTGGGCATGCCTATGATATAACTCTATAGATATATACATCTATAACATATAAAAAACTGATTTCATTTCCATGATGTCCTTATCTACACTAAGACAGGAATTGCCAAAGGCCTGTTTTGAAATAAACATAGAGACAGGAAAGATCTATTATTATTGATTCCCAGAATGTTTAATTATTTCAAGGGAAAAAGGGTCACTTTATGAAACTTAGTGAAAGAAGTCTCCCCTCCACTGAAGAGTCAGATAGATAGTCAATGATATAAAAGCCCTGGTTTTGGCAAATTCCTCAATGTAGAAGTACCTGCACTCATGTGAACACTCCCTTTATTTAACTTTTCATTTAAAAAAGCTATTACATGTGAATCTGATTTACTCACATTACTTTAGTCTGGATTTTTTGCATATATAATTTCTGTTGAGGTCATTGCACCTTTCCAGAATGAAACCAAAGCATAAAAAATTTCTTCTGTACTAAAATTTTCCTAATTATGGTTGAATGTATTTTCATTAGTCTCTCTACATTTTAACTCAAAGATCAGTACTTAGGAGGTCAAGTTTCTAATAAATTTTCAAAGATAGCAAATAATAGGGTTAGGAGTATTTTTTTAAGTTTTTCAAAATCTTTTATCTTCCTTTATCCCTATTGTTGCTTTTAAACATGTCACAGTATAGGAATACAGATGTGTTTTCTTTCTTTACTGCTTAAGAAAACAGTAGTGTGTGCAAGTAGTTTTCTGATTTCCTCTCTTTTTCAACTTCTAGTGTATAGGGTTTGCAAGACAAGGTTTTGGTAGTGGAGAGAGCTATTGGGGTGGCTTATTCTGGGAAGCTTCCAGAAGCTTCCCGTGTCCAACACTGCCAGCAGTCAGCCCTGCTATGAATCTACTACTGGCCTATTTAAGAAAGAAAAAAGTTATTGCACAGTAATAATTGTTGATGAATACCAAGGTCAGTACAGAAGGAGGGAGAGGAGCTGCTCCAGGCACTGGAGCTAAGATTCCCCTGAAGTCTATGGGACAAAAGGCCATGGTGAAGCAGCTGTGTCCCTGCAGCCTATGGAAATACCAACAGGAGTGCAGAGATCCACCTGCAGCCTATGGAGTAGCCCCATATCATAGCAGGTGGATGCCCTAAAAGAAGGTTGTGAGTTTGTGAGAAACCAGTTCTGGAGCAGGGACCTGTAGATCCATGGAAAGAGGAGCCCACGCTGGAGCAAGTTTCCTGGTAGGACTTGTGACCCCATGGAGGACCCATGCTGGAGCAACCAGTTCCTGAGGGACTGCACCCCTGAAGGATCACGCCGGAGCAGTTTGTAAAGAAATGTAGCCCATGGGAAGGACTGAACATTGAACAAGTTTGTAGAGGAGTGTTTCCCATGGAAATACGTTTCCCCTTGATGGAGGAGGGGAAATACTCTCCCTGAGGAGGAAGAAGCTACAGAAGTGTATATAACTGGGGACATAACTCTCATTCCCTATCTCCCTGTGCTGCTGAAGGAGGAGGAGGTAGAAGCTGGGAAGCAGAGGGAGGGATGCTGTTTTTAATATTTCTTTTACTTCTTATTATTCTGCTCTGATTTTGATTGGTAATAAATTCAGTTAATTTCCCCAAGTCAACTATTTTTTGCCCATGATGATAATTGGTGAGCAATTTCTCTCTATCCTTAACTCATGAACCTTTTGCTTTATTTTCTGTCTCCTGGCCAGCTGAGGAGGGAAGTGATAGCGTGGCCTTGGTGGGCACCAAACCACCACACCTAGCTGCATAATACTTGAACCTTTGGCAATCAACTTGAAGAGCTTTTCTCTGATTATGTCTCTTTTAATATTTGCATTTAAGGATGAAGCCTAAGGACAATTTAATTTTATTACAGTGTGACAAGCCCTGGCAGTCACATTTATTTATCTCTTTATGGTAGTCACATAAATTTTAGTGATAAAAATAATATTGTAATAAATTGGTCACATGTTCTGCACTTACTTCAATTTTAGTCTCTTTAGGAATACCTGAACATTTCACATGTGGAAAGATGGGTGTGGGTAATATTCTTCTGCTGAATATTGGTGATCTTATTGTCTATCCTATTGTTCCTACAGGAAGTTTGAAATTGGATTTGTTTGTATTTGTTTTCTAAATCAGTACAATTCCGTGAGATACATATGAGAAATGATTAAACCTCTTAAATGTACCCTAGACAGTTCTCATACCTGCTGTCTTTTCAGATATCTTGTACCCTGCATGCATTTACAGGTTAAAGAACAGGTTATGGAATAAGTTTTTTACCTTCCAGCATGTTGTTATACAAGACATTGATGATTTCAGTAAATCGAATGAAGTATTCAAGGCTTCAGAGAAATCCTCAGAAAATTAAACATAAATTAGATAATAGTCAAGAGAGCAGACTGTGAGTGTATTTCAAAGTTGAGAATCTCTTACTTTATGAATCATCCTGGCAAATTTGCAGCTATTAAGCATGTTGCCATTGGAACAAACAGAAATGCTGCAGCATCATTGTTGATCATTTTGCCAGTTAGGTTGTGCCATCCAGAGAAACACAGTGTGTTTTCTGATTTTAATTAGGTACTACACTCACAAAGCATAACAACTGTGTAAACTCAGTATCTTTTCAGTTATTAGTTATTATATCCAATACCTTTTGTGGGTAGAGTTGCCTATCAGGGAGATCCCACTTCTTTTTGCTCCCTCAGTCTGCATGCAGAGACAGACAGTGATTCCTTGTTGTCTAGTTGCATTAGTGGGAGCATGCTTGTCATGCACAGTTTTTGCATTGCTGGATTTTCTTCTCCAAGAAGTCAGAGCCTTAGAGAGGGAGACAGAGTAGTGCAAACACTGGAGTTTCCAGGACACAGAAAGGAACACATGCCAGGGCAATACTACCAGACTGCATCTTAGAGGCCTTTGTTTAATAGTAATTTTATCTGTCTGACTCTATTAAGAGGTCCTCTCCCTTGAAGAACAGAACATCTCCAAAATAACCAAATGCTATCACAAAGAGTTACAAGTCATACATGTTTTGGACCTGCACTGAATGTATTTAGCTTTATGACTTTTAATTTCATCACAAGCTTCATATTTATCAAATTAGTTATACCTTAATTGTAACTCTCAGATTCCTCTACAGCCTATTTGGATACCTTGTATATCACAGAAATAGTACATTTTATTAAACACAGCTCTCAGAACAATTAAAATTCTCATTGGTCTTTAGGTGATGTGGAATATACTCCATAGCTCTACTAATTGCATTGCCTCAGTCAGAGGACAGTACTATTGAATTAAGTAACAGCAGATGAAATCAGAGAACAAAGAATTCTGCTGGACTGATTTTGGCTATTTATTTCAGATTTTACAGAATACCATAACAGTTTTGGCCTTACTACTTAAACATTTAAAACAGGTTTTAAAATTTTATACGTAGATTCATTCAGCCTTCCCAAAAGTCTGTCATTGAATTTGACTGCATCAGTTGGAAAGAGAAAAAAATCTTTCAAAAAGTTCCAGCTTATGAAAGATATACTACTTTTGTAATATGTAAGGTTTATGGAATGCTCTTTCAGTAAATGTGAAACAGACTTCTAATCTGTTCCAAGGACTTCAAAACACTTGGTATTAATTAATACAAGAAAATTTATTGAGTATCAGTTGGGACTGTGGATTTTATTAAAAACAAATTATTATTTTGATAGTATTCTTAGATGTTATAAATGAGTCAGAACCCAGGTGGGAATGAGTAAGTAAAATTTAATTAGAACCCATTAAAATTACAGATGAAAGGGTGGGGTGGGGTGGCAGTGTTGGGAGAGTACTGAGACTGTTTCTGCTCACCAGAGGATTGCCCACAAAATGGCGTCTCCACTTTTTATATGGTCATGGTTGCATCAGCCTCATTAATATTAATGACCAGTGTTTAGATGTCCTTCCAGCACTTCCCACAGTTTGTGGCTTTGCCCATATATGTAGATTTGGCTCCTCCCATGGTCTGTCAGTCAATCCTCTGTGCCTTTTGTTGGTGGAGCCTCTCTTGCATCTCGATTGGTGGCCAAGCCTCCCAGCAACAAGTGTCCCCCACTCCCTGCCGCCTCTTGCAAGGGGCAAATGTACGTGCCGCCCCTGTCCCCCTCTATGTTTTGACAGCCCTGTCAGCTATAGCTGCTAGGCAGCAAGCACAAAAGGGGAAAGGGAGGATGGAGGGGAGAACACAAAAGGGTTCAAAACCAAATCGGAACCACAGAAGTACATTTCAAAAGAACTGCAAACCTTAACAGAACTTCTTCCCACCATACTTAATAACTCCTTCTCATTTGCATGAGCCAATCACTATTCCTTATTCATAACATTAGATAAATAGTGAAATAATGTTCCTTGGATAGTTGTGTTTAGTACAAAAAATCCATTTATATTATATTTTCTTTAAATTAATAAAAAATATATAGACTATTACTTAGAATTATTTAATGTTATATTTAACAATATATAAAATAGATATCATCTTAAACTGACATAAATAAGTATAACTATGCCTGTTTTCAAGGGCATGGTTAAAAACTGAGAATGTAGTTCCTGTGGATACCATCTGGAACACCCTGATCTTTACAAAGACCTGTGTAAGCCTACGGAGCCTTTTTACTTCTAAGAATGCTTACTTTGAAGGTGATACCTTCAGTTATGCTTCATGGAAAGTATTAATATGTTCATGTCTAAATACATGTCTTAATAATGCTCGTGTCTAAAATGTGTAAGCCCAACAGCTATTCTTTATAGTACTAACTCACGTATGTGCTTTACATGAGTGCCATTTTACATTTTTCCTCAGTTCTTTAAATTGGTTTGACTTGTGAACCTGGAAAAGCAATTGACAATTAATTGGAGGGGAGCATTCTAAATCTGATCTAGATAGTGCAGGTCTCAGAATTCACTATGATTTTTTTAATATTTAAAATTTAAAAAAAAAAAAAAACAAACCTGATTTTATTATCCTCACTTTCAGTCAAAAAAGATCCAAGCCCAGCTGAAAGAGTTTCATTATGGGAAAAAGGATTTGATTTTTAAGGTAAGTTTTATTTCACTATAGTTAACCAAAATATTGGAGATAATACAACATTGGAGTAAAGTAGGAATATGATAGCTGCCTTTATTACTGCAATCCTAAGGAATTAGTTTGTTCTGAAAAGAGCTCAAAACACCAAGACAAACTTAATACCACAATGCATTTTCAGAAATATAATATATCTATATTTTTGTGCTCACAAAAAGCAAAATTCTAGGTTACTGCTGATGAATAAAACCTCTTGCCCTATTCCATACATTCTGTAACATGTCTTTCATTTTTCTAACTGAACGATATAATATTTTACAGATGCTTCTTGTTTTTCCTTTAATTAGCACTCCTCCATGGCAAAGTCAAGTATTGTTAACATTTAAAGCAAATCTCTGTGTTTATGATAAGCTTGAGTCGTGTAATGTTCCTTACGTCTGAAGATTTAAGAAAAAGAAACATCTGTTGCTTAAACAATCCAAATGAATAGTCTGTTCTAGCTAGCACATTTTTAAAAATAATAAAATTTTTAAAAATAAAGGAGGGGAGGACAAAACATAAAGACATTGCAGAAGGGCATCAAGTCCCTGTTAACACAGGAAGAAGTTAATCCCTGTTAAAGGAAGCGGAGAGAGATACAGGTCAACTGACTAAATACTGTGAATGGAGTATTCCTTTTATATATTCCCAGCATAAAGGATGAAGATTAAGAAATCATCTTCGAAGTAACTAGACCTAGAATTACTTACGAAGTCATTCATGTCAATAGGAGTTCCAAATTGTCTTCTGGAGGTGTTTAACTCTCTCTACTGTCTCTCTATTGTATATACAGTGCTGTAAATATAGAGTAATGTAGACCATTTAAAAGACACATTGTGATTTCTGTTGGGTTTTTGTTGGTTTTGGATTTTTTGGGGGGGGTTGTTTGTTTGGGGTTTTTTTGTTTGCTTTTTGTTTTTTAAATGCATAGGTTTATTCCAAGTTTTTTCAGGAACATTTATTTCTGGTCTTCATAAGACCAAACTCAGGGAAGCAAATTTAGAGACAAAAATTAAGTATATTATAGATCTAGGCATTTAACTTTTATTGCCATCTAGCATTAGCAAAAATAACACATATTTCTTCAAGTTCAGTATTATGAAGAGCTTGAGCATAGGTAAAGATCAAAAATTCTAATCTTGCCTTGCTGTGAAAGTTTGTTCTCTTTGGCTGAAGCAGTAGGATTGTTTAGCACTATTACCTACTTGTTTTCACTATTCTAATATACAGTGATCCCAAAAAAGGATCTGAGTTATGCTAGGGTGCATACTAACACTTAGGAAGGGAATTCTTGCTAAGTACTACCCACCTGAAAAAAGGTTAGAGAAGGAAAAAAAAACCTGGGAACACAAACAAGTGAACATGGCAGAAGGGCTGTCCAGCAAGTCACTGGCATTCATGCAATGAAATCCATTTTCCCCTAATCCTAGTTCAGTATACTATGACAATGTAGTAATTAAGGCACACATGTAAAGAACTGTAGTAAAGGAGGAAATGTGTCTAGTGTGAATGGGAATAGACATAGTCTCATCTGAATGGATATTGCTTTCTCCAACAAATTCTCCACTTCAAATCCTTGGAGAATTATCTTCTGAAGACCATTTCTACATTTGATCACATGAATTATGCCTTAAAGACCTTGATTTACATTGAATAGACAGTTCTTGATCATGAATGAACACTAGAGATGTAGGTCCCAAGTTAAGTAGTGTGTTGTCCTCTGAGTGCTCTTACTGTAATATAAGGGTAGTTACTTTCCTTCTACGTAAACTACAATCTAACGTAATTAAAAACACTCTGAGAACTTTAGATCAAGAATGTTAATGAATTGTGGATTTCTGAGAACTATGTATTATATACACACTGAGAACTATGTATTATATATTTATATGTAAACAGTTGAAACCTCTCCTGACTGTGTGCCGTTCTGTATTAGACTGAATGATTGCTTTGCTAATATTGATATTGCCTTTATACGTAATCAGAAATATTTTTGCAAGTGTAATCATCAATCTCTTTCCTGACCAAGAAAATTTGATTTATGAAGCAGAGGGAGCAGCAACCTTATGCTATCCTCCTAAATCATGTGAGATGGGGGGAGGGTAGGTTCAGAGTGCTTGTTTGTGTGCGTTTCATGTCTGACAACAGACACACTAAGCAGAGCAGAAGCCATTTGGTATAGTAGTCTTTTAATAATCTGCTTATGCTGAGTGGAAAGTAAACCATTGGGAGGAATGAACCCCACACAATACATTGTGGAAGATTTCAAGTCAGAGCTATAACTTAATAGGAAAATTACAATAAAGGCAATAGTACAGAAACACTGGTTTAAACTGACAAAGTCAGAATACAACATGATACCCTGTTGGTCAGGGTGGTAGCAGTCCAATTAAAGATGGTTGCAGTCCCATTGGAGTGATGGATGTGGTCTTGCCAAAGCAGTGAGCCAGAAAGGTCTGGTTCTTCTCTGGAGGTACAGGGGTGGTGGTGGAGAGCTCCTGTCCTCTGGGAATCCAGTGGTAGGTGTTGTCATGTCCCAAACCCCAGATTATACAGAGGCAAGAATGTTCAGTACCTCTGCTAGGGTGGGAAATTTCACAATGGGCTGATGTGATTCTATGAGTCATTCTGGAGAGTCCTTGATGGCCCATTAGCAGAGATGAACCCTCAGGGTGGCTGCTCCTTCCCTAGAAGGAGTTATCATGGTTGAGTCCTGGCAAAGACAGAAAAACAGTGCTCCACTTAACCTTAATAATTCATCAGAAGGTAATGCTGATGGTGGTAGAATATATACTTTGGTTACACCCCATTTGTAATCTAAGACACTGCTTGATCAGAGAGAGGCTGTTAGGTTTGGGCAAGAACAGGTGATATTTCATTTCTAATTGCTTTGATACTGGAAACATAACAGATTTAATGTTAGCATTGCTGTTGAGGCTGTTTTATGAAGCTGTTCCTCTTTGATAAATGAAATGGATAGTTTTCCTGACAGCACAGCATGAATGTTTGGCATAAAATCCTGGCTGCTAGCTACTTTCATGTTACTGGACTTTTACCTATTCCCTTTCCACTCCTTTCCCATACCACTAAGTTTCTTTCTGTGTGGCTTACTGAGGACTTTAGGGAAGTCTGGTCTCCATATAGATCTGAACATTGCAAGCCTCTTGGTGCATTTCACAAGAAGGATGTAAGCTGCAGATTACTATATTTCTAAAGGGCATGAAGTAAAGCTGCAGTTCATGTCCATCAAAATGATGCTTTCTCTGAACAAATTAATTATGCAGATATATATGGAGGGATTGGTTGATTTTTATTTTGCATAATCAACATCAAGAAACTATTTCTTAAATTCTGGTACCTATTACAGTCAATGGCTCTGTTCTGAACTAGAGCTCTGGGGATTAAGTGGGAGAGGAAGAGAAAAGGGAAAAAAAGGCAGCTTTCTCTTTAACATTCCAGTGAATTGGTAGATCATATCTTCTTTTCCATATCTTACTTACATTTCTGGTTTTTTCAAAGTGCTTTATTACATCTCCGATTAATTAGTGAGCATATATGTGTGCATGTTTATATTTTTAAAACTCTTCCTATGTCATATAAAGCCATGGGACAAATAAGTAATGAGCATCACAAAAATTAACTCATATACCCAAAGCTATAGAGCTTGTCAGTACCTCTACTCAGATTATAATTTGAGCTCCTCTTTGTCAGATTTCAGTCCTTTAAAGCATGCAGCACATTATCCTTAAAGTACTGACCAAAGTTGAAATTTGCTTTGCATTATAATGAGAAAACCAAGAAATTATTAATAAAAGTTGCCACTGAGTGCTCTTGATCACTGCCTTTGTAAGTAGGTACTGACTAGTTCTGAATGACACTACTCTCAGTTTCAATAATTTAAATTATCCTAAGCCCCTGATTCAGTGAAGTACTCCTAAGTTTAAGTGCTTTGCTAGATTGAGGTCTGCATTTGTTTCAGGCATTACAGACCACTTCTTTTTAAAATTACTTCTCCTTCATTAACTGTCTTCCCATTATTAGGATATATTGTCCTAGAAGAAGTCATGTATTTTACTAAAAGAGGAAAGAATTAAAAATAGTTTGCTATTTTGTTCATGAAATGCAAATGTGTATCTATGATAGTAATAAGAGATGAAGAAAAATAAATCTAGCAACGATTTTTCAATGTCAGTTTATACAAGGATCTTGTATTGTTGAAATTTCTCTTGTAAATGTAAAAATGACCATGCATCAGTGGTATGGTTTGAGTATCTTTGCTTTTTTCTAAGGCTTTTCCTTTAGACTTTCAGACATATTTGATCTACAGCTTTATCTCTTTGCCCTTTTGTTCAAATTCTAAGACAAAATATATTGATACATCGTCTTAGAAAGCCAAGAAAATGTTCAAACTTGAGTAGCAGCTAACAGCACCTGGCCTACCAATGTACTTAATCTTTGTTCCACGGTAGAATTTAACTTTAAATAAGCAAGCAAATAGGTTTGGCTATTACAACAAATAATGCAACAACTTAGTACCTTAACAAACTCTTATTAGCTAACAACAAGTCAGGTAACTGTTAATATGTATTCTGTAGATGGTGATACATGGAAAGACTCAACAACTTTCAAAGTTGTAAAGTAGTATGCATTTATTCAGTGCTGAGGGCATATGGGGAATAGCTCCTCCAAAGACATACGCACCCTCAGCAAACCTTATCCCTCTATTTATTCCCTAAAGTGTTATATATACATTAAGTTTCACAATATGCCTATACCTATTCATTTCCTAGCTCCGCATTGCTTCATATTGTAATGATCTTAAAATCCTTCTGCTCTTGCGCAGTGTCTTCTGGTGGTCATACGGTAGTTGTCAGGATGAAGTCAAAACAGTCTTTCTCAGAGCTGAACTTTTCACCCTGCCTCCTTGTGCACTCCCTGGTCTCGTGGTCGCAGTTCCAACTGCAAGACTGGTCTTG